GCAAGGGATGCCTATTAGTTTCTCCAAGCCTCTAAAGCCAGCTCTCCCCCTTGTCTCAAGGTGAACAGAGAGAGATGTGTCCCCTCCCTTACACACGCAGTACCCAGATCTAAAACCTCTCTGTGTCCACTCCCAACCCTGCAGATGAGGCTGGCAAATCATCTAGCAGGTCATCGGGGCCCCTGCTTTGCAAGTCCCCCTGGGGTGTCTGTGACATAGCTCACCTCAGCATCATCATCATCTCAGCTAAGACTTATTTTTTTTTAGATTTATTTATTTATTTTAGAGAGGGAGAAGGGGCAGAGGGAGAGAATCCTCAAGCAGACTCCCTGCTGAGTGTGAAGCCCCACCTTGGGTCTCAATCCCACAACGCATGAGATCATGACCTGAGCCAAAATCAAGAGTCTGACATTCAATTGACTGTACCACCCAGTCACCCCCCAGCTGAGACCTCTGTTTTAACATTTTTGACAAATATGCTCAAGGACAAGGTCCACAGCTTGTCCCACTCTACCACACTGTTATTTCTTTTTTTTTTCCTCTTAATTTTACTTAGTTTACATACAGTGCAATATTGATTTCTGGAGTAGAATTCAGTGATTCATCACTAACACACAACATCCAGCGCTCATCACAAGTGCCCTCCTTAATGCCCATCCCCCATCTAGCCCACCCCCCACCCACCTCTCTCCATTGTTCTCTACTACTAAGTCTCTTATGGCTTGTTTCCTTCTTTTTTTTCTTTTCTCTCTTCCCCTATGTTCATCTGTCTTCTTTCTTAAATTCCACACATGAGTGAAATCATATGATATTTGTCTTTCTCTGATGACTTATTTCACTCTGGCTCCATCCATATTGTTGCAAATGGCAAGATTTCATTTTTGATGGTGAGTAATATTCCATTACATGTATGTACCACATCTTCTTTATCCATTCATCAGTCAATGAACACTTGGGTGCTCTCCATAGTTTCCTTATCGTTGATAATGCTGCTATAAACATCGGGGTGCATGTACCCCTTCGAATCTGTATTTTTATATCCTTTGGGTAAATACCTAGTAGTGCAGTGTTGGGTTATAGGGTAGCTCTATTTTTAATTCTTTGAGGAACCCCCACACTGTTCTCCAGAGTGGCTTGCATTCCCACCAATAGTGCAAGAGGGTTCCCCTTTCTCTGCATCCTTGCCAATACCTGTTATTTCCTGTGTTGGTAATTTTAGCCATGCTGACAGATATGAGGTGGTATCTCATTGTGGTTTTGACTTGCATTTCCCTAATGAAAGTGATGTGGAGCATCTTCTCGTGTGCTTGTTGGCCATCTGGATGTCTTCTTTGAAGAAATGTCTATTCATGTCTTCTCATTTCTTGACTAAAATATTTGTTTTTTAGTTGTTAGGTTTGATAAGTTCTTTATAGATTTTGGGTTTTTTTAAGATTTTTTATTTATTCATGAGAGACACAGAGAGAGAGAGACAGAGAGAGAGAGAGAGAGAGAGAGAGGCAGAGACACAGGCAGAGGGAGAAGCAGGCTCCATGCAGGGAGCCCGACACAGGACTCGATCCCAGATCTCCAGGATCCCACCCTGGGCTGAAGGCAGCGCTAAACCGCTGAGCCATCGGGGCTGCCCTCTTTATAGATTTTGGATACTAACTAACCCTTTATCAGATATATTGTCTGCAAACATCTTCTCCCATTCCACAGGCTTCCTTTTAGTTTTGTTGAATGTTTCCTTCACTGTGCAGAAATTTTCTTCTTGATGAAATCCCAAAAGTTTATTTTAGCTTTTGTTTCCCTTGCCTCTGGCAATGTATCTAATACGAAGTTGCTATGGCTGAAGTCAAAGAGGTCTCTGTCTGTTCTCCCCTAGGATTTTGATGTTTACTGTTCCACATTTAGGTCTTTCATCCATTTTAAACTTGCTTTTGTGTATGGTGTAAGAAAGTGGTCCAGTTTCTTCTTCTGCATGTGGCTGTCCAGTTTTCCCAGCACCATTTATTGAAGAGACTGTCTTTCTTCCAGCGGATACTTTGTCCTGCTTTGTGAAAGATTAATTGACCATATGGTTGTGGGGCCACTTCTGAGTCTTCTATTCTGTTCCATTGATCTATGTGTCTAGTTTTGTGCCAGTACCACACTGTCTTGATGACCACAGCTTTGTAGTACAGCTGGAAGTCCAGAATCATGATGCCTTCCAGCTTCGGTTTTCTTTCTCAGGATTGCTCTGGCTATTCAGGGTCTTTTGCAGTTCCACACAAATTTTAGGATTCTACACTGTCATTTCTGACCTTCATTTTACCAGTTTACAAAATGGGCTGAATAACACCTACCTCACAGGCCTGTTGTAAGGGTCCGTGGTTCCCCTACAGATGATAGTTCTTTACAAACTGTACAGGGCTGTGCATATGAGGAGCCAGCACTACTCTTGCTCATTCAGGCATTCATAACATGCCTATTATTGGTGTCTGGGGGCCTTCTGCATCTGTCACAGGTGATATTCTGCTGGTGGGTGCCCTATAAACTCCTGGAGGCAGGAGACCATGACTTCCCCTCTTTTCCACATGACTGACCCTGGCTCACATGCACTAGTGTTTAAGGTGAGCTGGTTGATTGGTTGGTAAGGAAAAAAGTTTTCCTTCTGGGTGTCACAGAGCCAGTGGCATGGGCCAGGTGGCCTCCAGAATGTGACCAAGGGATGGTCCCCAGCCTGAGGGTGCCGAGGCACTGTCCCAGCAGCAAGGGTGGGTGGAGAGGGGAGATTCTGAGTCTCGGGAATTCTGTGACACTTCTGTGCTCAGGACTGCCACCCAGTCCCACCTTAGCAACAGAAAGATATTTTTAGGTGTTTTCCCTTCTTGAGAAGGGGAGAGGAAGGTGAGATCTTGGTTTCAGCACGTTCTCACCTCTGACCCAGGAGAGATGTTGTTAATTCCAACTGCTCCCTTCCAGTGCTGCTCAGGGAAGACCCAGGACAGACCACAGGGAAGGCTCAGCAACTCTCCACAACCCACCCTAGATGTCGGGCAGTTTTCACCCATCCCGTATGAAATGACAACTCTACAGGCAAAACAGTGAACCAAGTTGCATCTGTTCCATGGAAAGCTTTTGTCCTTTTACTCTAAAATTCTGTCCCTCTTTCCTTTTGGGTGTCACATATCCTTTCTAGATACTGGCAAGAACACTGGTAATCTCTTTAAATGAACTGCTTTGAGGAGGCAGAAAATTAGATGGGTTCAGTGGTTAGTTTTTACCCTGCTGCTCTGTGGACTCCAAGTGGTTTAGAATCCTTACTCTGGGGAGTGGGGCACAAGCACTGGCCCCCTCCCTCCAACAAAGGCAGGGTTTAAACCCAGGAGTGAATGAGGTCCTTAAAGTCATCACTCCTCCCCCTCTGTTTCTCCCTCAGAGCGAAAAGAAGGCTTCAGTGTCCGGTGTGCATACTCCCCTTGGCAGGGACCTGTGATACAGGTGGCCCTCCTCTGCCCAGACTCCCCGTCTTCTGCTTCCTCACTCCTTCTTTCACTTCCTTGGACTCTCAGACCAGGTCATAGCTGGCAGTGTCCTCAGCAACCGTGTCTGCCTCCCAAATATGTCTGTCTGAGTGGAGGAGGCCAATGTGTGCGGAAGAGAAGGGACTGAAGAAGAGAAAGAGAATAGCAATTGCATGGGGTGAGGGAGGTGACAGCAGAGCCTCCGAGGACCCCTGTATTAAGTCCATGTCCTCCTTGGGGACATCCCTGAGCTCCCCCTCACTTTGCAGACCTCTCCTAGCACTGGCCCTTCTCCCCCTTTCGAGGTGTCAGGAGGGCAGGACACTGGTCTTAACTCACCTCTGTATTCTCAGCCCCTACACTTGGTGCTCATCATAAATGCATAATAATCACCTGTTGGACTGAAGAGCAAATTTCTCTTGCTTCTCCTATTAGCCTCTAGGCTCCTTGACACGGACTCTGTCTGATCCCTATTTCCATTCATTTTTGGAGAGTGTCACAGTCAGGAGAAGCCATATTATGCTGCTGTCACAAATAGCTCTGGCTTAACACAATAAAGATTTATCTCTTCCCTGAGTTCATCTGCCCTGGGAGCTCCTCTCCCCATCATCTGCACTCAGGGACCCAGATGGACGAAGCAGCCTCTGTCTGGAATATTGCGAGTCACTGTGATCAAGAGAGAAAGGTGCCTGGGTTCTCTGAAACTAAATGCCTCCACCTAGAAGCTGTGTATTTCCTTCCAGTCACATTTATTTAGCAAAAACAAGTCATGCGGCCACAACAAATATTAAGGCACCCAGAATGAGAGAGCTGGAACCATGGGCAGATCTCAATCACTGGGGCAGCCACAGGAGGATACAGGCAGGCTTTGGAGATGGGCTAACTTGGACCTGAACCCCTGCTCTGCCAACTAGCAGCCGTGTCACCCAAATAATCCCTCTACTGCTCAGAGCCTTGCTTGTCTTGTCCATAAAATAAACTCTCAGGAATTATCAGAGCATCCTTGTGAGTATAAGAAATAACATTTTTGAAATGCTTGGAAAAAAGAAAATCCTCAAAAACAAAACAAGTCTATTATAAGCTCTTGTTAACCTGGTACCTGGCAGTGTGAAGCAGGGTGGAGCTTAGTCACTATGAATTCCTGGGTGGTGCCTCCAGTCATGGAAAACTTGCCTAACAGCCTATGGGTACTCTTTGCTTTTTCTTTGCAGCAAGTCCAGCACTCTGTCCACCGATGTGGGTCAGATATAGCACAAAAAATGGCTCAGAGGCCCCCCAGGAGACACGTGAGCATCATCACCCCAAGAACCAGGAGGCTCAGAGCTTTTGCAGACCCACAGAGAATTTGCTGCATCGTCTGCAAACTGGCTCCCCGTGGTGAGAAGCGTGTCTGATAGCTCTCGGAGCACAGAAAAAAAATGCCCTGTTAAACTGCTAAAAAATGAACTGTTCATTGTGACTAGTTTATACATCTTATTTTTAGGAAAACATTTTAGAAAAATAGCTTTATAACAAATCACACTACAGTGCTTTGGATCAAGTTCATGTGCATTATTCCAGTATAATTCATGCCAAACCCTATAAGATTGGTAACAGTGTCATTATTCCCATTTTATAGGTAAGGAAACTGAGGCAAGGGGAGGTGACCATCTTGTCCCATGTCTTACAGTAGCAAGAGAGGCCAGGATTCAAATGCTGACTTCTGTCTCTGCAGCCTGCACTGAACCTGTTAATGCCAATGATAGGGCTGACTTTTTAATTTCATTGTCTGATCTGGCAGATTCATTCATCAATCTTCTGGGCCCTAGTAAACTCATCATCTGACAGCTGAGTGCTTTTCCCCAAAGTGTTTGCTTAGGCCAACCCCACACAGTGCTTCTATAATCCATGTATTTCTCAGCTACATTAATAGCAATTGTTCGCGTGGCCAAAGAGAAAGCCTCCACAGCCAGAAATGGCCCAGGGTCATAACTGACACCAGCTCATCAGCCGAGGCTGAGGGACAGGAAATGGCAGGTGAGTTCCAATCTATGAGTAAAGAAGGTTGTGCTGCTTCAGCTCTGCCTCACACTAGCTGTGTGTTCTTGGGCAAGTCACTTGCCTTCTCTAGAGAAAGGAGGTAGTTTAAGTACATGCTTCTCCTAAACGTCCTTTCCATGTAATATAGCACAAAGATTGAGAGGAGGGCTTCTGGGGTCAGAGATGAGAAATCAAGTCCTGGCCTTGCCTCACCTAGGGGCCCTTGATTTAGGACATCCTTCACTTCTCGGAGTGAAGTTCCCTCAACGACAATTGATAATCAGAGATTTTGGGGATGTCCTCAGGGGCTGCAGTGAGCAGGCTTACGCAGGCTCCATGCAAATGCATAAGTGTCATCATCATCTCCCAAGCCTTTGTCTCCCAGGCCCTCCAAGCACCATGTCTGCAGCTCCCGCCAGCAATGCGGTGTTTGTCGTCATCCCACCCAGCAATGCCAGTGGCCTCCGCCCACCTCCGGCCATCCTGCCCACCTCCATGTGCCAGCCTCCTGGGGTTTTGCAGTTTGAGGAGCCACTGGGGGTACAGACACCAAGGGCCATCCAGCTGCCTGATCTACGGCCCATGGAGATGTTCCTGACTGGAGAGCCCAAAGCTTTAGGGGTAAGAGCCTCCCCAGGCCCTCTGAGGCATGTGTGTATGCAGAGGTGCCAGGCAGGGAGAGAATGGCTCCAGCACAAGAGCATTCACCACCTCAGAGGGGAAGAGACAATCCCTAATACTTAGTGGAGACTTGAGGATTCAGCTGCATACCAGACAGATGGGCCCATCCTCCACAGGGCTCAGAGAGAGCACACCAGCAGACAAATGACTAAAATAATCCCAAGCAGGGTAATGAGATTGAACATGATGGATGTGGGAGGGGCAACAAGCAAGGATGATCAGACAGGTTCATTTAGGCTAAAACCTGGATGCTGAAGCCAAGGGTAGATGGGGAGCAGAGGGGAGTGCTCAGAGGATGAAGGAACAGCTGATGCAAAGGCCTTGAGGTGGGAATTCGAACTGTTCAAGGACAAACTAAAAGGTTAACATGGCTGGGATGTAATGAGCAAAGGAAGGGGGGAGATGAGATGGAGTTGGAGTGATCCATGAAAGATGTCCCATAAGGTCTTTGCCAATCTCAGATGGCCTTGAGAACAGTTCTCTGGGCAAGAAGAAAATATCAAATAGACAGAGAGATAAATATATTCAGCCTTATACATTACAAATATAGTTTCTTCAGTTTGTCCTTTGGCCTTAGTTCCTCCAAATGGAGGATGGAAACATAGCTTAGGCAATAGTGATGATGACCTTGGTGATGGTGATGCTTATGATGATAATGGTGCTGATGCTGATGATGATGGTGGTGGTGACGATGGCTGCAGCACCCCTGAGAGGAGCACACACAGAGCCATGGAATGTGCATGCATTGGTTCCTTAGATTCTCATCACCACTTTGTGAGACAGGACCACAGTTCCCTTTGGACAGATTAGGAAGCAAAGGCTGGTCAAAGTCCAAGGCCACACAGTTGCTAAGGGGCATCCTGTTCCCCAGGATGGCCTAACTATACGGTTCCACTTTCAACCCCCTGCTTGGTAGCATCCAGGAGCTCTGGCTTGAATACACTAAAGACCGCACCATGTCCCCTGGTGTGTGAAGGGATTAGAGACAGTGAACAGAGGTGGTGTCATCAGCCATTGGACTCCTGAAGCCTCAGAGCAGACCAGGAAACCCATGATCTCCAGAGGGATTTGGTAAGACAATTATAAATTGCTGGAAAACACAGAATGTGGAAACTACAAATAGGTGTTTGGGAGTGTCACCCAGTAGAGGAACACCAGCTTTAGAGTTAACTGGCCTGCCCCTTCATCCTAGGTGACTACAGACAAGTTACTAAACATCTCTGAGTCTCAGTTTCCTTGTCTCCAAATTAGAATAGAAATACCTCCTTCATCATGTTAGGATTAAAGGAGATAATGTCTATAAAACATACAGCACGTTGCTCAGTGTAGACGGGCATGTGGGCAGAGGCAGCTATGTTCTCTGATCTGTGGTCACAGCAGTGGGGTTGTCCAATAGTAGGAGAAGAGCCTGTAGAGGGGAGCAGTGCTGGTGGCTGGGACACCATGCCACCTAAGCAAGCTGCAAAGATGAAAGACATGCAGCTCAAGAGAAAATGGGACAGAAGATTCAAAGTGGCCATGCCATAAATGTCTAACTTCCCAGCACACTCAAGTCAGAAAGATAATGCTTCTTCCACATGACTCCCCAAAAAAATGATTCTGGCTGTTTACAGTGAGAACTGCCAGTAGTACACAGACCACAATGGCTTGAGTGTCTGTGCACCTCCTCATTGATGGGGCTTGTTGAGAAATCAGGAGCTGGAAAGAGTTCCCGGATTAGGCAGAGGTTGAATGTGGGGTCCTCCAGTGTCCCCACTCAGTTCTAGAATTCAATCCTTACCAAAAAACATACAAAAAACATATGGCATTACTTACCAGAAGCCCACATGGCCCCTTCCTTGGGAAAACCATCCTACTTCTGGGAAATGGATCAGTGGGGTGCTGATCTGCGTCCAGATGTCAGCTGGGTAGGAGGCAGCTCCAGCACCTAGCTAGCATGAATCAGTGATAGATGCTCAAATGAGAAAGCTAACAAGGGGTGGTGGAAAGGGGGGTTGGTGTGACTGGGTGATGGGCACTGAGGGGGGCACCTGACGGGATGAGCACTGGGTGTTGTTATATGTTGGCAAATCGAACTCCAATTTAAAAAATATATATACAAAAAGAAGAAGAAGAAGAAGAAGAAGAAGAAGAAGAAGAAGAAGAAGAAGAAGGAGGAGGAGGAGGAGGAGGAGGAGGAGGAGAAGAAGAAGAAGAAATGAAAGCTAAGGAAACCAGGTAGCAACAACACAGCGATGCTTGGGATCTATGGGTCAGAGCACAAAGATGCAGACCCGTAAAGACATGGAAATAGGTGGGGGTGGGGGGTCTCGTGGATGTGGGAGCTGATTTTCCTTCTTTAGACAGTCTTTCAGGGTTGCTACGTGGATGTCTCCTCAAAAGAACGGAGTCGAGTTTACTTCCCAGAGGCTGAGGGGTGGAGGGGGGCCGGCCTGCCAGCTTGGCTGAGCTGCGCGGTCCACGCAGACAGTGCAGATCCTCATCGGCCTCATCCACCTGGGCTTCTGCAGCTCCTGGCCCGCCATGGCCACGCAGGGATGCTCTTCACTGAAGGCGGCGTCCCCTTCTGGGGAGGAGCCTGCGTGAGTGCCCGGGCTGTCGGGGCTCACCTCCCGCTCTGCGCCCGCCATACCACATTCTCTTGGGCACAGCGGACCTAGGTCTAAATCTAAGTCCTAACTGCAAACCCTAATCACACACCTATGCTAGGCGCCACTCCTGCCTAGGAAAAGCTCCCAGGAAAGAGCCTGGCACAGAGAAGGTTCCCAAAACAGACGGATGCAGGGGTGAGTGCAGGGATAAGAGATACTAACCACCCCGTACAACCTGGATACTAACCTCACCCTGCAGCCAAACCCCAGCCTGCAGAAACCCTTCAACCGCCCCCTCCCATGGGTCTTAGCCCACCAAGAGCTCTGTCCTCTAGGGGTCTGACCAGCCCTGAAGCCCCCCAATCCATTCCTCTGCCCATACCCTGGCCAGCCTGGCCACCCCCACCCTGTCCCCTGCAGCAGAATTGGGGAGCACATGATTAATGGCAAATCTCCAACATCAAGAGAGCACTTCAGCGTTTACACAGCCCTGTCTACACCTGAGTCTCCCAGCCACCCTGGGAGAGCAAAGGCTTGGGAGCAAGGTCAGTGGGGTCTGAATCCCAGCTCCACTGCCACCACATGTCACCATGGAGTCCCTTAGCCAAGTTACCCAATCTCCAGCCCTGGCTTCCTCATCTAAGAAGCATAGTCCTGGCCCAGCCTACCCCAGAGTTTGGGGAAATTAGAAGTAAGGCATGTGAGAGCTAGTTACTAACCCTGGATTTGCAGCAAACAGTGATATCACTTTGTAACAATGCCCCCTTTAGAGAGGGCTAGGTTTGCATAACATGTGAATGATGTCACTGAAATCATTCACTTTGCCAGCTATGGCCTGAGTTCCCTGGACGGGCCTTCTAGTAATCAGGGGACACCTTTACAGACAGATCCAGAAAGCAGGGCAGGTGATAGCCAAGAGGCTGCTGCCCTCTCCCTACCTGGTGTCCTGGGCGAAGAGTCACTGGGGTCCCCCTTCCCCCCCACAGTTTGTCATCTCTGGGTCCCTCTCAGTGGCAGCAGAGAAGAGCCACACCAGCTGCTTGGTAAGTCTTTTTTATTTATTTATTTATTTATTTTTTATTTATTTATTTACGATAGTCACAGAGAGAGAGAGAGAGGCAGAGACACAGGCAGAGGGAGAAGCAGGCTCCATGCACCGGGAGCCCGACGTGGGATTCGATCCCGGGTCTCCAGTATCGCGCCCTGGGCCAAAGGCAGGCGCTAAACCACTGCGCCACCCAGGGATTCCTGTTTGGTAAGTCTGAATCGGGTACCCAGGACTACTCCACTCTGCCCCTCCCATCCCATCTGTTCACTCATTCAACAAACATTTCCTCGGGCCTGCTGAGTGCTCCCAGACATGGGACAGGAGGAACCAAGATAATTTCACAATACAGGGCAGAAAGTGAGGGTCCCCAGACCAAGTGCTCATGATCATTCAGAGAAAGGGAAGACCAGAAAGGTCTCTTGAAAAAGGAGAGGATAAGCTGGGCATTGGTGGAAGAACAGGATTTGAAAATACAGAGGGAAAACGAGCAGGCAAGGAGGGGCCATGGGCAGGGTTGCTATGAAAACCATATGGGGCTCCCTCTGACCAGGGCAGAGCTCTGGGAAAGCAAGTGGAGAGATGCAGTAGGTCCACATGGCAGAGGCTTGGACCCCTCTGCAAGTCACGAGAAGCAATGAGGGCTGTGAACTGAGGTGCATCCAGCATGCAGCAAGCTCCAGGCTCAGAGAACACAGCAGTGAAGGTCAAGTCCCTGCCCTCCTGGAGCTTACACTCCGGTGTCTGGTAAGACACCCAAACTCAACTAACAAAGTAGTTGCAGAGCATGAAGAGTGTCACAGGGGAAGCACACGGGGTAGTGTGGGAGTCATTCCTCTCAGAACGAACAGTTTAGGGTCCCAGGGCAGGTGCCTCTGAGCTCGCTGTTCAGAGGGAGACAGTCACAGAGGATCCTGGGCGCCAGCATCCCCGGTGGGAAGAGCCTGGGCATCAGGACAGAAGGAGTCAGGGCAGTTTACAGGAGGCGAAGGAGGTAGAGAGGGTGCAACTCGGCTGAGAGGGAGAGGGGAGAGAGATGAATCAGAGCTTAGAAGGGACCTTGGGATTTATTTTAAGGGACTTTATCTAAGGGAGGCCACTGGGAGTGGAAGTGGATATTCCTTGTCCTATTTGCATTCTTGGGAGCTGTCCAGTGCTGGGCACCTGGTGAAGAATGGATCATAACCGGATGGAACTAGACTCAGGAACCCCCAGGCCATAAAGTCCAGGAGTGCTGGGACCTGACCTTTGTCCCTAATGCTCACTGTGGCTGGAACAATGCCTGGCTGCAGCAGCTACTCAGTAGCACTTTGTTGGATTAATTAACCAATTAACTGATTTCCTGTGAGGCCACTCTGGTCTCCATTACTTCCTCAATGTCATTTAAAAAAAGAAGAAAGAAAAGAAAAGAAAAAGAGGAGTCAGGGATCTTTGAACCTGAGCAGGTCCCGCAGCCCCAGCTCCCTGCAAGTGGTCCCCAGTATAGAGCCAAGGCTTAGTTAGCCACAGGTTCCCGCCACTGGGTCAAGAGTATCGAGTTCTGGCTGCAAAGGGAGCCTTGAGTGGTGGCCTGGACCACCCAGGGATCCCCTCGCTCTGCCCACCTGGGACCTCACAGAAATGACCCCATCACCTCTCCAACTCCAACCTCTCCTCAGTGTCCCAGCAGAAGGTCTCCCTGACTCCTGCCCCTGGGGCAGCTGCAGCTGCAGGGTGCTCAGCCTGGGGTGGGGGGTACGATGTGAGCCTGGAGCTCGCTGCACACAGCACCCAGAGAGGCCATGAAGGAGATCGGCCCTCTCCCAAGATGACAGAGTAAGGAAGGCTTCAGGGCAGCCCCTGAGGCCCGGGGTAGGGAAGGGACACGGGAGAAGGAAGAGGAGTCCGGAAGCACACCGCTCCCATGGCAGGGTGGCCACGGAGCCCTGGGCACAGGACCCCAAGGCAGGGAGGGCTATTGCCTCCGTCCTTTCCTCTTTCTCCTCCTGGCTTCTTCCCTCTGCTCCTTTTCTTCATGTCTGTCTCCCTCCTGCAGGTGAGGAGCAGCCTGGGGATGAACGTTCTAAGCGCCCTGGGGGCCTTTGCGGGGACAGCCATTCTGCTCTCGGACTTTGGTGTCACTAGCTGGGTGTGTTGTCAGACACCTCAGGAGTGGGAATGCTCAGAGGATGTTAGAGCCACATCAGGAGGCGGCGGGCGCCCTGCGGCGGTGGTAGGCAGGAGGGTGTGACAGGGGAAGCCCCAGGGTCCTGGGCAGGGGCAGAACCTGTCAGTCCTGATAGCCCCACTGGCCTACCGGGGCTTGGGGAGAGAGCCCAGGAGAAGCGGCTGGGAGGCCGCAGGACCAGCTGCAGGTGGCCTGGCTCCAGCTCCAGCTCTGCCCCGTGGGGCTGTGGGACCTCGGGCAAGTTATGGTCTCTCGGGGCCCTTTCCTCCTGTACCCTAGAGTGCTGGGCTTGCCTTGACTGTGGGTGTGGGCCCCAGGATGCGGGCGGGGGCTCTCTGGCTGTGCTGACCGTCGTCACCACCCTGGAGTTCTTCACTGCGGTCATCACCTACTTTGGGTGTCAAGCCACCCACGCTCAAGCAGCACGGTGAGTACCGCCCTTGCCCCACGTCTGCCCCAACCGGGGCCTCTGAAGAGGGCTGCTGGCTGGGACGGCTCCTCTTCCAGCCTCTTGCTTCTTTCCTCGGGCTAGCAATGGAGAAGGACTGCGCCGCGAGACGCCTCCCCGGGTACCTCCCCACCCGCGCGCGCTCCTCGGCCTGGGGAAGACGGCGCCCCGCTCCTCGAGGCCCCAGGGGAGCGGCAGCGCCGAGGGCTGTTAGCCCGGTGCCGAGCAGCGGGCCGGCGCGCGGGGGACCAGCGGCTGTGCCGTGCATGGCTGAGCGGGACCCTCCCGGAGCTCACAGGCCTTGAAGCAGGTGGGGCCAGTGCAGAGGCAGCACGACGACGACTCGGGGAAATTAGCTTAGTTTCCCCAAATCTGGAGAAGACTGAAGACGGAAAAGCGGCAGAGGAGCTGGTGATGGAGTGACACCGGCCCCACGCGGGAAATGCAGCCACGACACCAGGGCGCGGGTGCTGCTCCGGAGCGGACTTTTTGCAAACTGGAGATGAGGCCGCTGAAAGGCTTTGCGCAGAGGAGTGCGTGCTCACAGGGAACGAAACCAACCCGGAGGGTTCCCCTTGAACCTTAAACCGCCCCCCACTCCCCAGAGGGAGCCAGGGCAGGGGAGGCCCAGGGAGAAAGGACGCCAGAACTTCAGCTCCTAGAGAATCGCGGCTTCTGTCTGTTCTGTTCACTGCTGTACTCGCAGCGCCTGGTCATCGTTGGACCTCGTAGGTATTTTTGAAATATTCGATCCTACAGATGAGTCAGGCCAATTCACTTCGGGGTTCATTCCTAGGGCGCTGTCCTCAGAACGTCCACAGGGGGACACGGCTGCAAGGCCGCCTGGAGGCGCCAGCGCCCTCCAGGATATCAGGGTTCTCTTTATCTTTGCAGCCCGTGATTTTCCTGCCCAGCCTCTTGAGTACGGACTTCAGCATCCCCAGCCCCGCAGCCTCTCCACCGCCTGCCTATGACAATGTGGCGTATATGCCTGAGGAGTCATCGGAGTAGAGGCCTCCCCGCGGTTGGAAGCCAGCTTTCCTCCTGTGGGCCCAGCCTCTCCCCCCACCCCATCCTCACTACTGTGGCGCCCGAGTGAAGCCTTCCCCAAAGACATCCCCACACATCTCCCTCGGTGGCTTCCTTTCTAAAAGAGCTAGTGGATGTCAAGGAACCGTCCCCCAGCGTCCTGGGCCCCATTCCCCTTCTAGGAATGTCCCCATGTGCTCCTCTGTATTTCTCTCTGGTCAACAGGAGGCAGCCAAGGCCTCATTGGCAGACAGGTTCAATGGCTGCCCTCAAGCCTTGGGAAGACCATTAAGCTCAGCAGCCCAGAATCCTCCAGAAAGGAGTACTAAGTCCAAGCGCTGAGGCCACACAGCTAGCTGTGGCCTGACCTCTGGGTCTGCAGGCTCCAAGACCAGCTCTGTGCTTTGTCATCTGCTGCTCAGTTTTCCTGGAAACCAAAGCATTAACTAGATGGCATTTAAGGCCCTTCCAGTTCCCCAGGGATCCCTGAAGTCCTGCTCTAAGTAAGGGAATATTCTGGAAAAGCTTGTTTTCCTTATCTGTAAAGTGGAGTTGCTATTGACTCCAGCACTGCTCACCTGCCAGGTTTGGGGAGGTTTCAGGGGAAGGCTAAAGCCAGCCCTCGGCACCCCATCAGCATCCACAGGTACACAGTCCTGGCGGTCCCTCCCTCTCTCACTCTCCCCCTCTGGGGAGCAGAGCTGCCTCTGAAGGTGACCACCCACGGGGCTGGGGCAAAGGAGACACAATGTCAAAAGTCCTGGTGGATGGTTCTTCTCCATACTGTGGACGGAAATAAACTGTGTGGCTTACATTTTGAGCTGGTCTCATTGCAGTGACTTTTTCTTTTCAACCTCAGGGGCTACAAAGATCTGTTCCATATTTATCAGAAGACTTGGGTCCCATTGTCACAGAACCGAGGCATCTCTGGGAGCTGGGGTCTGTGTGGTGTGATCCTGGCACTTGGTCTGCCCCCACCTGAGTGCCAACAAGCAGGCATTCATAGGCCGTTCTACAATGGAGGACACGGGAGCTTGAAGAGGTCAAATAAAGAACCCAAGGGCACTGATCTAGTAAGAGGCAATGCTGGAATTTGAACTCAGCTCCAGCTAACATCAGAGTCTGTGTCTCACTGCATGGCTCCCCAGGTCCAAAACCCAAGTGCTCTCCATAAACCCTTTCTTTTCCTTCCTCCTGCTTCTTCATCCCAAGGACTGGGCCGGGGCTGCATTTCTCAGCACCCCCACTTCTTCATTTAACGAACTCCTGCTCCTTCAAAACCCTATTTTATTTTATTTTATTTTTAAATTTTATTTATTTATTTATTTATTTATGATAGTCACAGAGGGAGAGAGAGAGAGAGGCGCAGAGACATAGGCAGAGGGAGAAGCAGGCTCCATGCACCGGGAGCCCGATGTGGGATTCGATCCTGGGTCTCTAGGATCACGCCCTGGGCCAAAGGCAGGCGCCAAACCGCTGCGCCACCCAGGGATCCCTCAAAACCCTATTTTAATGTTGCCCCTTCTATGAGGTCTTCCCAAAGGCAGGTGGTTGGCTGGCACCATTCAGCTTTCCCTTTAAGGGAGCTCTGGTTCCCAGCTTGTGGGAGAGCAGAAGTGGAATGGGGTTACAACCAGCTTGGCTCTCAGAAGCAAGAAACGAGATTGGAGGACTTGGAGCAGAGAGTTTTTGCCCAATTAAATTTTCCAAGTGTGAAAATGTAGTATGTTCCATTCTCTCCAGGCTTAAAAGATTTGTCTTGACCCTGGAAAGCCCTCCCACCAGGAGGGCTTACTTTTCTCCTCTTAATGGAGTCTGCCTCCCCCCTCCTGCTCACTCTGCTGAAATCTCTCGGAGGCTGCTGTCATTGACCTCATTGTCACCAAGATCAATGGGCTTTTAAGAAGCTTTGTTTAAACAATAGCAGTTCCATCTCACATATAATCACCCCACCAATTCTCCCCGCCCTTCTCAACCCCATCCACTCGCTCCACCCTCCTTCCAGCTCCTCTGGACCACTGTCACTTCTCACCTGTGTTTATGACATCAGTCTGCGGACCTTCTAGCCTGTGTCCCCAGTGTTCAGCTGACCAGGCCACCTGTCAGCTAGATAACAGCCAGAGGGATTTACCTAAGGCACAAAAGCCATGGTGCTACTGCTTTGCCACTTGGGGTTCTCCTTTGCCATGAGGCTAAAGTCCAAATGTTCCCACAAGGTTAACAAAGCCCTGGAGACAAAGCCTGCTGCCCTCTTTTGTCTCCTCCCACCTCTTCCAGCACCTGACCCACATTCGCAGCTGTGCTGAAGCTGGGAAGTCCTTCTCCATGGAGTGCAGTCCCCAGCCTGCCGCCCTTTCTCTTGTCTGTCCCACTAAACTCCCAACTGCTTTCAGATCTCAGTGTAAATGCCTCCTCCTCCAGGAAGCCTTCCCTATCCTCATTCTTCTCTCCCTGGTCTAGGTGAGGTGGCCTCTGTTGGGCTGTTCCCATACCACCTATCCAGGGTCATGTCCCTTCTCCACCAGAAAGTTGCCTGCCTCCCTGACCATCTCCACCGCGGGACTTTATCAGTCGCCTGTTGTTGCAGTGACAAATTACTATGAACTTAGTGTTTTCAACAACACGTTTATCACCCTACAGTTCTGGAGGTCAGAAGTCCTAAAATATTGGGTATTGGTAGGGCCACGTTCCTGGTGGAAGCTCTAGGGGAGAACCTGATTGCTGGCTTTTTCCAGCTTCCTGGGACTGCTGCATCCTTTGGTGTGTGACCTTGTCATCTATCTCCAAAGCCAGCAGCCCCACCCCTTCCAGTCACTCTCACTGGGTCTGCTCCCTTTGGGTCCCTGGTGGAGGGACCCCGTGATTATACGGGGGGCACCCGGTAGGCCAGGATACTCTCCCCCTCTCAGGATTCTTAACGTAATCACATCTACAAAGTCCTTTTACTATGGAAGGTGAAAAAGCCACAGGTTCCAGGATCAGGACGTGCACATGCTGGGAGCCGTTATCCTGCCTGTCACGTCCTCTGAGCTCCTCTGAGGCCAGGCAGATGGCCTCTACCCCACCCCTGGGCCTCCACACATAGCAGCGTGCCTGGCCCGTTGTGAGTGCTCAGTAAGGCTTCTGTGAATGAGTGAGTCAGTTAATGACCAAGGGTGCAGGATGGTCTGTGCGTGCGTGTGTTATATGTTGTATGTGACTGAATGGCAAAGCAGAAGCCTCTAACCTAGTGAAAAACCACAGCTTCTAGAAAAATGTTCATCCCATGATTAGGGAATTAAAGATGTGGCTGATTGGGGCACCTGGGATGCTCACCTGGGTCAGTGAAGCTGAGGCCATGATCCTGGGGTCCTGGGATCGAGCCCCACATTGAGCTCCCTGCTCAGTGGAGAGTCTGCTTCTCCCTCTTTCTCCCACTTGTGCTCTCTCTCACTATCTCTGTCTCTCTCTGTCTCTCTCTCGGGTAAATAAGTGAAATCTTAAAAAATAATAAAGATGTGGGTGATGAATAGGTGCAAAGCACCTGCTGACAGGTGCGCACAGCACGGGAGGTCACTGGGCATGAATCAGCGGGGAGACTGCGGTAGGTAGGTGGGTGTGCTGCCAGGAGAAGTGGATCTTCCAGAGCTGCTCATGGCCTGGCCTCACCTCTCACAGAAGGGCCGCCCAGTCCAGCAGGCCTGAGAGAAGGTGAGTCACCTTGCAGTGAGCACACGTGTGGTTGCCCTCTGCCTGGTTTTGTGCCTAATGTGGGACATGCATGACTCCTGGGCATGAGGAACCCCCGTTGAGTGCTTGGTGATGACACAGTTCGGGCCCCACTGTAGGCATTTTAATATGTTAGCTCACTGAACCCTCTCGCAACTCCCCCCAGAGCTATTGTTGTCTCCACTTTGCAGAGGGGAAAACCAAGGCTCACAGCCACAAAGTGATAGAATCAAGGTCTGAACTCAGGCAGCTCAGACCCAGAGTGGGCTCTGAAGTGCTCCGCCATGCTCACCAAGCTGACGTCGACAGGGTGGCCACCTGGAATGGCAGCTGGGCTCTGTCGGTACCCTCAGCCTAGCAACACGGAAGGAGGAGCCAGATGAACCACTAAGATCTGTACACTCCAAGAATGCAGCGCCATGCTCAGGGGCAGGGCAGGGACAGTGTGCTTAGGCCTCCAGCCAAATTGACTGATAAAGTTTGAGGGCCTGGATCCTGAGTCACATAAACCAACAGTAACAAGATGTTCCTGAGACAATCAGAGAAACATCAACATTGACCAGATATTTGAAACCTAGTATGTAGCAGAGGCTGGGCAAGAGGAGAAAGTCCTGTAGATGCACAGGGCACTTCCCTGAGCTTCAGGGCACCAGTGGGCACCAAAATGTCCTGTGGTTTGTTTAGTTGTGGCATATGGTCATAGTCTTTTTAAAGAGTCCTTATTTTTTAGAGATAATACTACGATGTTTACAAACTGTGGGATGCTGCTCCCCGATGGGGGAGGAGTAGGAGCAGGTACACAAAGGGGGTTGTGAACCCCTGACCATTGCAACCCTGGGGGATGGCATGTAGGTATCCACTGGACCATTCTCTCTACTTTGGGGAATGTCTGAAAGTATCCAAAACTAGAAAGATATTTTAGAAGGCTCACCCAGGGACTCTACGAAGGTTTACAAGCATCTTCACTCCATCGGTCCTGCTCTGTTAGCAGATTAAATGGTCAATGAGGTGGTTTGCCAAAGGACATTTCCAGCTGTAAAGAGGGTGCAAAGATTTCCACCTGCCTGGGTTGGGGAGTCCACTCACGCACTGCTGAGTACAAAGCAGAAGGTGGGGCCGGGAGAGAAAAGACCTAAAGTCTAATGTGAAAGGATGTTCTGATCTTCCAGCCCCATCTCCGAGGGGCTGAAGTGGGTCCAGGGAGCAGAGCATGGCTGGAAGCTCCAAGTGGAGGTCCCAGGGCCAGGTGAGTGATCCCCCACAGCAGGAACAAGGAGGGGAGTGTCTGTGGGCAGATTCTCCTGTAGCAGAGCCAGAGATGGGGTTCTTGGGCAACTGGTTGATGAGGGAGGTGCTCTCAAGAGACAAAGAGCAAAAAGCAGGATGAGGTAGGTAATGTAGAGGCCGAGAAAAATCAAGGCCATCCCACCTCAAGTTTAGCATCAGCACAAGTACAGCCATGTCAGGCCCCTGTGAATAAGAGCTGAACTTTACGGGAAAAACTGCAGAATGTCCTCAATGTCCTCGGCAGGGAATCCCATATCAGAAAGACAACAGAGCCCACACCCCTGGCAGAAAGTCCCATATTAAAATGAGAACAGAGCTCAATGCTCTTGAAAGCCCCACATCAATGTAAACAGAACTTGAGAAATTCCTCCACCCCTTCTGAAAATCCCCTAGACCAGCCTATAAAAAAACCAGCTGTAACCCACTTCGGGGTCAGTCAGGTACACTTGGACCCAAGCTCGAGCTTGTAAATAAACCCTCGTGTGTTTGCATCGGTGTCGGCTCCTTGGTGGTTTCTCGGATTCGCAATCTTGGGCACAACAGGTAAAACGAGCCGAGGAGAGATATGGTTTCATCCGACTGCTTCTGCAGCCTGATCCCACTGTCAAGGGGTGCTCAGGAGCACACACATGGTCCCTCCTTGAGGCAAGGAGACTGTCCTTTCATACTCCATGCCAGTCAGTCATTGGCTGTAGGCTAGGGGGGTGGATAATTAAACCCCCAGGAGGGAGCAGTTATAAGCCCTTAGCACCAAAGATGACACCAGCTGGCAGTAGGCACCCGACTCCCCAGGACCATGGGAAGTGGGGAGTACCAACAGCATTT